TTGGCAAGCCATATGGAAAGTCCTCAACTCCCCTAGAGCCTGGAAGCTTGAACTTTGTTTCACCTTATCAAAATGGAATCTGAAAACAAAATGGCAGTACCTAGGATAAGACTCACTTGTTTGATCCCAACACAAGAGGCCCTCCCTGCCACCACACAGAGCCAGGGAGAGGAAGACATCCAGAGACCATGCCCACTACTTGGCTGCCTGCAGCTTAAGCCACTACAATATATAGGTATGGGGTGGGGAAATGTGACAGAAATAGAAGCAGAACAGTTTGTGTGCTATGCAGAAAGATGGATCTGGAGATGTGAAGGTAGAGTGGAGCAGCCAACTGTGAGTAGTATACACTGCCATCTGAGACCATGGTAAAGTCCTCACCTGTGCTGCTGCCAAAGGCCATGTCTGGGTCCAAGGCCATGGAGCAGCAGGGGATTGTGTAGATATCCATAGCCCATATTTAATCAAAGACCATTTGGATGTTCCTGATCTGTTCCGCCCATTGGGGCCATATTGATATTCAAAGGCTGCCTTTTACTGGCCCTGCCCCTCACTGGCTGCAGCACTTGGAAGAGCCATTCCCATACTTTGCCCAAGCAGAGCAGTAGAGCTTGCCCTGGTGGTGGGGACTTGGTTAAGCTGACCCTGATTAGGCAGGAGAGCTGGTTTTGCCCTTGCTGGCTGTGGCACTGAGTAAGCTGGGGCAGTGCTGGAGAGCTCACATTGGTGGTGCTGGTACAGGAGAGCTGGTGGGCTCTCCTGACCAACTCCTCTACCACTCAGCCCAGATCTAGGACTGTGTTAGCCCATCCCAACATGTACTTCATCTATGAACTGCTGGAGCTCACAAAGGGGCCAGTCCTGCAGATCCAAAGCTGCAGTATCTCCATGACACAGTACAACAAGGTATCTGAGAGTACTTCTGCTGAGAACCTAGTATAGATAGAAGCGAAGCCAGAGACCTCAAATCAGTGATTTTGCAGCTCTCCCTGGCCCCAGGGGATCATGGGAACCAGTCCCTAAGGACAAGGGGATGGGGGCAGAGATTGAGTAGGCAGTGAGCACGATGGAAATGAACCTCTGGGATGAGCTGTGGGGAGATGGATCAACTTTCAGAGGTGTGGCGAATATATAGAACTTTGAGGAGTGGGGAAATCCAGGGTGGCCAAAGGTCATCATTGGCTGAGGGGATAGGACACTGAGATGCCATGTTTACAGAGAGAGGAATCCTGGGTGTTGCTGAACAGGTTTTACTGTGAGGAAGGGAGTAGGGCCTGTAATTTTTCTAAGGGCTATGTGACATTCCTCTAGGTAGTGCATGTGAGACAGGCATGGAGATTAGCAGTGGGGTCAGGGCCATCAGGTGAAGCATTAAGATCCAGCTTGGCCTCTATCCAGCTTGGCTGCATAGCTGTCCACTGGCAGCCCCTTGTCTAGCACACAGCAATCTGTTCTTTTGTTTCCTTGGGATGTTGCTTTCCCAAGGTTAGCTCTCTAGGCTGATACAAATGCATGTGACTCTTTGCAGTCTAAGCATCGTGGAACATTAGGAGCTGTCTTTGATACCTGACTATTGGTTTGACACACATGGCTAAGAGAATTACTCATAGGCTAGGGAAGCCAGTGAACACATCAGGTAAAGCAGTGTGTCAAGAATAAATCAAAGCAAACACAGCATGAAAGTCTGATGTCTCCTTGGTATTAATGGAGTAATCCTCTTAGGGCTCAGTAACACCAGGAAGGTTACAGGTGTTGCCATTTGGTTTATGCCATGTGGTTACAGTAGCCAATAAATCATGGCATTTACCCTGTTTTATGAAACCATGAGCAAAGATGAGATGCAGAGAAAAAGAGCATGTCAGCCCTTTAAAAATGAAATCCCAGGTGTCTGACACAGCTGAAAGACTTGGCTTTTGCCCAGCAGGGTTTGTCTTGTTTAGTCTAATCTTTTCTTACTTTTTTGGAAAGAAATATGTATTATATGCCATTGGTGTTGGGAAGATAATTTTTTTTTTTATTTTAGAGAATGTCACAATCATTGAGTGTCAGAGGAAACTTTGTTACAGTGTTGGGATTGTTATATAATACGGGGATCTAAGAAGTTAGACTAAATACATTTTGCATTATGGGTTGACTGGGAGCCTATCGTACCAGTGTTGAAATGGGGTGAGCTGAATGGAAAATCTCTCAATTTGTCTCCTGTTTGTGGCTTACATTTTGGTGCTTATGGAACCCTCAGAAGGATCCCTTCTGGAGAAAGTTAGTCTCTGGGTATGGGCTTTCAGTGTTTATTCACTCGCCACACTTTCTTTGTATGTTTTCTGGTTCAAACTGAGCAGCCTACTCCCTTCTAATGCAGCCACACCATCACCACCATTACAGACTCTATCACTAAAAACATAAAATAAAACAGAAGCAATTGTTTTTCCTTGCTATGCTGTGTTTCTGGCCTTACATTTTATATTTTTATATTTTTGGCTGATTGTATGAGATTTTTTTTTTTACATACCAAGCATTTACTCTTATGCTTTGCTTTACTCACATCTTGACTTTTGAACTTTATGAGAGGATATTAAGTTTTTCACTAGGATGGCATGCATTTATGACATAAATAATGAGTCTTCAGATTCATTGGATTGCAGATCTTTAACATTCTCTCTAACTTTGTGTATGTTTTTTTATTTTAAAAAATGTTCATGGGTCTTTTGCATACGTGTATATATATATATATATATATATATATATATATATATATATATATATACATATATCCACACATATTTGTACTTATGGTTGTGTACCACTTGTGTGCCTGGTGTTCACTGAAGTCAGAAGAGAATATTAGATTCTCTTAACCTGGAGTTATGAATGGTTGGGAACCTCCAAATGAGTGTTGGAGATTGATCCAGGTCCTTTGCACATAGAACATGTGCTATTAACTGTTGACCCATCTTCATATTTTATTTTGGTTTTTAGTTTTGATTTTTGCATCAACATTTATTTGCTAATATTTTTGATAACTTTTATCTGTCAGTAAGTTATTAAAATGCATTCCTTTGAAGGAATATCATACTGCTTTTATGGTTTAAAAACTGAGTCACTGCAGTTTTGGATAGACTATATTGAACTGGAGTGAATGTTTAACTCTTTGGGGGGAATTTCAAGTGAGCCTCTGAGTGCTTTCTATCCTTTCTCTGGTTTTGTTTTTATTTTTGTTTTTTTATTGAGACAGGATCTCATGATATAGCTCTGTCATGGAAATCACTACATAGACTAACTAGCCTGGGCTAGAAACCACAATAATTCACTTCCCTGTCTCCTTAGGTCTGGATTAAACGTGTGTATCAGGACATCCATCTTGTCCATCCTATTTTGAAGTTAGGGATTTTGATATAATTTTGCTAATATATGCTCAATAGGGTTGATCTGTTTGAGTCTCTCTCTGTATTATCCGTGAGTTTTCATTTCTCTTGCAATGCCATATGGAGTTCAATGGGCCTGAAAATGAGAGCTATGATTCTCCTTTTCTGTTTCCCACTAAAATGACTTGGCGACTGCACTTGAAATTCTATGATATGGAATAAATGTGTGGAGCACATTTTTCTTTTCTTTTCTTTTCTTTTCTTTTTTGGTTACTGGGAATTGAACTCAGGACTTCTGGAAGAGCAGCCAGTGCTCTTAATCTCTGAGCCATCTCTCCAGTTCCCATGTGGAGCACATTTATTCAGAATTATGTAGATATATTCTCAATGAAATGTACATTTACAATTCAGTAAGTCTCACCATTTCTATTACATATATGTATGGGATATTTTAGGCTGTGGTGACCTATGAAGATGTACATGTAAACTTCACTCGTGAAGAATGGGCTTTGCTGGATCTTTCCCAGAAGAGTCTCTACAAAGATGTGATGCTGGAAACCTACTGGAACCTCGCTGCTATAAGTAAGAATGTTAGTTGTCTATCACTTTCTAAACAAGGGGACATCATTTTTTGTTTATTGGTTCACTTCTGTGACTTCTGTTGTGAAAGAGGAAGAATATGGTGAATAATCAGATGTGGTTCTCAGATTTACCAGAGATACTAACTTAAAATTTCCGATACCTAATAATATATCGTCAATTTTCTGGTACTATATTTTAGGCCACAAATTGGAAGACCAGAATATTCAAGAACATTTCCAAAATGCTAGAAGAAGACATGGAAGGTAAATTGTATGAGCAAGCTGATACAAATGCATCACTGAAGACATTTTAATGTGCCCTGAAGTGTTAAAGAAAAGGAACAGTGTAAATAAGCACAGTTTTATGTATACTGATGATTATTAAATTCTTACAAGAGCATGCACTTCCATTTCAGGTAGCTGACCTATGCTTGTAAGGTATTCCTCTGAAAAACAAAAGAAAACACTAGTTTAACAGATGACACTATTTTAACCATAGCCTCGAGAGAGCCATGTTGTAGAACTTGTCAGTCCATTTAGTTTCATAGCATTCAGTTATGAAAGGCATACACATTTATTAGGGCTCAGTATATTTTCAGACTTTTTACAAGCTAGTGTTTACTCATATACTTATAATGACTTTCTATAGTTCAGTGAGAGGAACAGTTTATGGGAGGCAACTGGGTTGTTGTGGAGAAATTTTAATTCCTATAGCACATATGCATGGGAACAAAAAAGTTAACCTTTGTGACTGAAGTGTGAAAATCTTTTGTTTGTTATTTCTCCTTTAATAGGTATAATGTCTGTCACTCTAGGTACAAGCATTGTGACCGTAAGGGATATGGAAAAAAGCATTGTACCTTTGAAAATAACAGTTTTCTTAAAATATGTGAACGAATCCCTACTGAAGAGAAACTGTATGAATGTAATCAATGCAGTAAAGTTTTTTCAAACCTCAGTAGTCTTCGAAAACATGAAAATTACCATACTAGAGAAAAACCATGTAAATGTAATCACTGTGATAAAGCCTTTGCAAGTCACAGTTCTCTTCAAATACATAAAAGAACTCATACAGGAGAGAAACCCTATGATTGCAATGAATGTGGTAAAGCATTTGCAAGTCATGGTAATCTTCAAATACATAAAAGAATTCATACGGGAGAGAAACCCTATGAATGTAATCAATGCAGTAAAGCCTTTGCACATTTCAGTACTCTTCGAAAACATGAAAAAAATCATACTAGGGAAAAACCCTATGAATGTAATTTCTGTGGTAAAGCCTTTGCAAGTCGCATTTCTCTTCAAATACACAAAAGAACTCATACAGGAGAGAAACCCTATGATTGCAGTGAATGTGGTAAAGCATTTGCATGTCGCAGTAATCTTCAAATACACAAAAGAACTCATACAGGAGAGAAACCTTACGATTGTAATGAATGTGGAAAAGCATTTGCATGTCGCAGTCATCTTCAAATACATGAAAGAACTCACACTGGAGAGAAACCTTATGGATGTAATCAGTGTGGTAAAGTCTTTGCACGTCGCAGTAGTCTTCAAATGCATGAAAGAAGTCATACTGGAGAGAAACCTTATGAATGTAATCACTGTGGTAAAGCCTTTGCATATAACAGTGATCTTCACAGGCATGAAATAATTCATACTGGAGAGAAACCCTATATATGTAATCAGTGTGGCAAAGCCTTTGCACGTCGTAGAAGTCTTCGAAATCATGAAGAACATCATACTCTTGAGAAATCGTATGAGTGTAGTGTGTGTGGTAAAGCCTTTGCATATCACAGTAATCTTTATATACATGAAAGAACTCATACTGGAGAGAAACCATATGAATGTACTCAATGTGGTAAAGCCTTTTCATGTCGCAGTCAGCTTCATATACATGAAAGAAGTCATACTGGAGAGAAGCCCTATAAATGTAATCAGTGTGGAAAAGCATTTCTGCTTCGCAGTAGTCTTAAAATTCATGAAAGAACTCACACTGGAGAGAAACCTTATAGATGTACTCAGTGTGGTAGAGCCTTTGCACGTCACAGTAATCTTCTGATACATGAAAGAAGTCATAGTGGAGAGAGACCTTATGAGTGTAATCAATGTGGTAAAACCTTTGCAAGTCGTAGTAGTCTTCGAAATCATGAAAAACATCATACTGTTGAAAAACCTCATAAATGTAATCAGTGTGATAAAACCTTTGCATGCCGCAGCCATCTTCAACTACATAAAAGAAATCATACTGGAAAAAAACTCTATGAGTGTAGTCAATGTGGAAAACCCTTTGCAAGTCATAGTTATCTTCAAATACACAGAAGAACTCATACTGGAGAAAAACCATATGAATGTATTCAGTGCAGTAAAGCCTTTGCATGTCGCAGTAATCTTTATATACATGAAAGAAGTCATACTGGAGAGAAACCATATGAATGTAGCCAATGCGGTAAAGCCTTTGCATATTGGAGTAGTCTTCATAATCACAAAAAATGTCATACTGGAGAGAAACCTTATGAATGTAATTGATGCGGTAAAGCTTTGTCATGTCAGTGTAATCTTCAGACTATCAAAGAAAAACACTAAGAATGTAATCAATGTGATAATGCCTCTGCCTGTTACATATTTCCTCCAAGGCATGAGAGAATTTCTACTGGAGAGAAATGCATGAATCTAATAAATGCAGTAAATACACGAAGCACATTTTTCTCACTGAGCCATTTCATTGGGCTCATGTAAGATTAGTAGAACCATTTCATCATTAAAACATTGTCTTTTGTTTTTTCAAATTGTATGCAAATTGTTATCCAAGGGTAAAAGAATGCACAATAATTTGAGAAATAAAACATTTTCAAATGAAATGATATTTATACTGTTAGCCATTTTTATTAGTTATATGTAGAGGAATTTTGATCTATCAGCATAGCTGCTGCTCTGGCAAGGGGATCTCATCCAAAGTCCTAGGTCTGTGTGATCCAGCTGGAATACAGAGATACCTTTAATCATAAGCAATGATGTCTAATTGAGGGGCAGACAGTGACGAATCACAGATTTGACAGAATAAGTAAAAAATAGGATACACCCAACTCTTACAAGAACAGACAGGAAAGAACCTACTTAACAGCACCTCAGGGAGAGAGAGAAAGTTTGTGGAGATAGCATAGTATAGAGGAGGAGAGTATGTTACAGGAGTACTGTAGAGTTTGTGCTGTCAGTACAGTACAGTTTGGTGCAATTCGATTGAGTTCACTGCAGTTCAGTTTATAGAATCAGAGGCAGTTTTTTTTCAAGCAGAGCAATACATTGAAAAGTTGAGAGAAGCCAGTATGAGTCAGTCAGCTTACAGGGGAGTTTTGAACCAGAATAGCAAAGTTGAACCAGTCACCCAGAGTTCAGAAAGAACTGGAAAAGGTGATTTATTTAGCAGTAAGTCTTAAAGTCTGAAAACATTCTAGGTCTTGGTTAGGAACTGGGAGGCTGGAAGCTGAAAACTTCAAGGAATGGGCTCTCAGAAGATTAGATTGTAGAAACGCTAGAAACTTCCAGGCATAAGCATAAGCCAAGGCATGGTTAGATAGATATGCTCTGCTCTCAACCCAAGCCATTTATTTGTAAGCTTGAGTATGGCTCTCATCTCATCCCCTTTTCTGAGAAAATGAAAACAATTTTATAGTTATGTTAGCTTATCCTGAGGAATATATACTTGTTCTGGATATTTTCTTAAAATCCCAAATGAATGGCAGGGAATTGTCTTAGTGGGCAAATATGGTTGCTACTAAGACTGATGATCTCCCACATTATTTATACAAAAATTTCCCTTATTTTTACACTTGGACTGTGACATGCACATATATATATAACAGCACATACATAAATGTTTTTGAAAAATAACAAGTGAGTTCTTCTCACCAGTTGAAGGCACTTGCTGAAAAACTTGACTGCCTGGGTTTGATCTTAGAACTCACCTGGAAGAAATAGGGAATAGACATCTGTAAATTGTCTTCTACCTGGCATGTGCACACCATAGCACTAGTGTATACACACAGGTAAAAATTATTAAAGATGTTGGGTGTGCTGGCATACATCTTTAATCCCATAACTTAGGAAGCAGAGGCAGCCAGATCTCTGTGAGTTCATAGCCAGCCTGATCTACAGAGAGAATTCCAGGACAGCCAAGGCTTTAAAACAAACAAAAAAAACCCTGTCTAGTAAAAACCAAATAAATATTAAAGATGAAATTAAGAAAGCAAATAACCAAAATGTTGAGACCACAAATTATTAACCATTCATAGTTAACACATTGTAGTATTCCAAGAAGTGGTTCTTTCAGCAAAAGAATGATGGTTCACATTTAAATCTTATATTAGCCTTTCATTCTCTGATTTAAAGATAGGTCTTTAAAAAAAAAACATTTTACCTGATTATAGTGGTGCACATCTGTAATCGCAGCACTTGGGAGACAGAAGTAGCTGGATTTCTCTAGGTTTCAAGTCATCTTGGCCCATATAGTGAGTTCCAGGATGGCATAGCTATGTAGAGAGATCCTGTCTCGAAAAACCCAAAACAGCAAATAAAACCCATTCTGGGATATTAATATTTACTACTGATTTAATTTTTAGTTAAGCAGCAGTTATTCCTAAACAGCTGTATACCCAAATCACCAGAGACTAGGATTATTTTAATTAACCTAGAGCACAATGCTGGGCAATGATTACTCCATCCTAAATCTCCAAACCCGCATAGTTTCCTATTATTCAGATTTTACCCATTATACTTACTTTCAATCATATCTAGGTCCGGTTCATTTCTCCACATGGTTCCAAGTTCCCTCCTGCCAACCTCTGCTCCTCCTCTCCACACAAAATTGTGTGATTTTGGTTTCCTTAGAAAACAGGAATATTCTAAGAATAAGTTGTCACTTTAACACCAGGTGTAGGGATATGGGGCTGCTTCACAGCAGTTGACTATGTTTCCCTTGTATTTTAGCTGAGGTGTGATCTTGCCAGAGGCAGATAGTGTCTGCAATGGTTGTAATTCTGGGGATTTTTCAGAGGCTATGTAAATGCTAGAACCTGAGAGCTGGTGTGGGTTGATGGTTGGATGCTGTTTGTTGTAGTTTGTTAAGGAGTCATATACAAAGAAACAAGAAGAAAAAGAAGAAATCAGATGTTCTGATGGAAAAGATCAAAACTGTCCCAAGGAACTTGATGTTCCTAATCAGCAGAAAGTAGTTTAAGGATGATGTTGCCCTTTCCCCCTTTTATCGTTTTTGTTTGTTGATTTGTTTGTTTGTTTTTTCCTTCTTCTTTTCTCTCATATCTAGTGTTAGGGGGTTGAATGGGTGGAAAAAGAAGGAGTAGAAAATGGTGGAAGAAAGAACCCACAAAGCAGCAGGTACCATCTAGGAGCTGCACCCAGATGTGGGACTAGGCAAAATGGGAAATTTGAGGAAGAAGGAATAGATACTTTGTTTCATGATGCCAGCAAAAAATTTATTGTGGCTGATACTGCTGGGATAAGTCATGGTTTGGTCCTAGAGGGGGTTTTCTGTTTTTGTTTTTGCTTTTGTTTTGTTCTTGAAGAGATTCAATTTGATGACCATACTATAGAATAAAGTCACTTAACAGCTTTAAGAGCTTAGGACAAAGTTGAACCTGGGTAAATGTCCACCTTGTTTACAAAGATTATACAAGTCTCTGAAGAAGCCTTCACTGATTTTTTTTTTTTTTTTACAAAGATTAGTCAGAATTGTGAACAAAGCCCTTTCAGACCCTGAGGCAAGACAGGAGTTGATAAAAACCTTGGAGTATGAAAATGCAAATGTAAATGAATACTGAATATAAAAGAGTTATTAAAGCAGTAAATGTGTGGGTAACACACATGGATGAGTGGATAAATAATATGAACCATATGGTTCTAACATGTACCATGCAGGGATGTGAATATCAAAATGCCTGGTGCTTCAATTGTGGGAAATATAGTCATTTACAAATACATTGTGACCCTGCCCCTAAGGGTCTCAGATGCCTCGTTCGTTACTCACAAGGACAGTAGGGGTGATCTTGGGAAGGACTGGATTGACTTCCCGAGTATTCATCGTGCATCTATGAATTGTAGATAGTGGTCTTCAAAAAGGAAATTAAAACCTTTTATGGCTGACATACCCATAAGTTTATGGGGAAAGGAGCTTTTACAACAGTGGAGTAATCAGATTAATATTCCTGCAATTGCAGAGATAGCCCATGATGAAATTAGGGGTGAACTTGTAGGTGCTTTTAGGGAATGTGTTGATATATGTTATTAAAAAGCAAACCCAAATAAAGTAAAAGTTTCTGGTTTCTTTGAAGACTCAGTTTTTTCATGTGATGTTTTGCTGGAAGATGTCTTGTGAGAGGGCACATGATATTTTGCTGTGTGCTCTCCTGTGGGAAGGCCATTACTTTGGCCAGCTGAGACCATCTATATGTTGTTGTAAATAAAAATGAGTGTTGAACTATATAATGTTTATTATTAGCCCTAAGATTATCATGGCGGTATTATCTAACCCATTATCACAACTAAGAAGACATAGACACTTTTTGGTTTTACAATTGTCCTATTTATCTTGGGCTGGGCAGACATTTCACTCAATAACCTCACCATCTACGTCCTACCCCACATCCAATGCCAACATCCTTAACCATATTCATCTGAGCTGTCTTTCTTCCATAATCTTATAAATACTTGCATTTATTCTTCATCTTGGCATTTCCACACCATTATTGGAGTCCTTTCTCCAAGTGTGATTCTTTCTCCATGCTGACCCATCACAGAGTCCCCCTTCCTCCTCTTTTCTCATCTCTGTTTCCCATGATTCTCCTGTCCTCAAAGCATGGGAACTCTAGCCATGCCTGCCCCATTCTGCCCTGACCAGGTATAGATCTTTAATCAATCAACCAGGTAAAATGTCCTAAGCAGGTTTACAAAATAAGGACAGGTGTAACCAGATCTTGAGAGCCAGTAATTAGCATCAAAACAAAGCAACAGAACAGCCCCAATATTCATGGGTGGACTTTGAGGAGAAATTATAAACAGAATCCCATGGAGAGTGACACATCGATTTTTGGATTGGCATCACTGCCCTGATCTTCATGCTTCGACATTTGACTTCACAGACAGAAAATTCCAGAGAACTTCTCCAGGCAATCCAACTGAGTCTTGCGGCTTTTGCTGACTTGTCCCAGTCCTCTGAATTGTGCTGATTTGTGTTGCTGCTTGGTGTTGGCCTTTGGACTGGACTGATGACTGAGTTTGGTAATCCCCGAAGGATCCATCGACCCTAATCAGCAGTAAGACGATAAAAGAGGTCTATAGCCCTTTTCCCTACTAATCTCCTGGGTGGCAGGGGTTGGAAGGGAGGTAAAGGTATTTAAGAACCCTAAATAAAGTAGGTTTGGTGAAAAATCTAAGCCTATGCCCAGGCTGTGCCAATTGTTCAAACACAGGGCATCCCAGGGATTGTGTTTACAAATTTGGAGGGGGGCACTGCTAAAGTACCAACAATCCTACCTTTAGGATGGCTGATTAATAAGCCTGTGTGGGTAGGTCAGTGGCCCTTAATGAAGGAAAAATTACAGGCACAAGAGCAGCTGGTACAAGAGCAGCTGGAGACTCAGCATATAAAAGAGTCTACCACCCCGTGGAATTCACCTGTATTTGTTATTTTAAAAAGAAAGAAAGAAATTGGGGAAGTGGAAAATGTTAACAGATTTGAGCAGTATGAATAGAGTATTTTAGCCAAAGGATCTGTTACAACCTAGAATTCCTTTATCCTAAGGAATTCCTTTATTACCTAAGTCATGGCCTATGATAGTAA